GGTTGACTAAACTGTTGTCCACCAAAATACGCTTAACCAAACTCTGGTTGATGAGGTTGATCGGCCAATATATGGTCGTCTATAACCAAGTCGACAGTTTTTATTGATAAAAAGTAACACAATCATTCTTTACTCGATACCTCTTTAGTAACACAATTTTATAGGAAAATTAATTTTTATAGGTGGATTAAATGCACCTCAACCACCGGAGTTAAAACACAACGGTCACCTCTTCCTCAACCAATCACAAAACCCGTCAACCACAGGAGTTAAATTTAATTTTTATTGGCGAATTTAATTATTGTTGGTAAATTTAATTTTTACCAACAATAATGTGGTATTAGGTTTTAGAGTTTAAATGTATAATTGATACGACAATCACGTGAAAGATGGTGCAATACTTTTAAATTATGGAATGAATGTACCCGAGTAATTAAGAAAATAATCAAAATATTATCATAGAATTCACCTATAGCAGTACGCCGAAAATAATCCCAAATAGTTGACTGGTTTTAAGAAATTATCCGTGTGTTAATGGTGTTGAAAATATTTATTTTGGAGTTTACTTAATATAATATTATAATTTTTGGAGTTTTCTTAAATATAAATATTGTCAATGCATAAACATTGATAATATAATATTGGAGTTTACTTAAATATAATATTATAAATTTTTAAACATATTTTTACATTGGTGTAGTTATGCATATATTTAAATATATTTAAGATTAAAGATTAGGTCGATTAACAAATTAGGTCGACTAAACTGTTGTCCACCAAAATACGGTAAACCAAACTCTGGTTGATGAGGTTGATCGACCAATATATGGTCGTCTATAACCAGGTCGACAGTTTTTATTGATAAAAAGTAATACAATCATTCTTTACTTGATAAAAAGTAATGCACCTCAACTACCGGAGTTAAATCTCAGCGGTCACCTCTCCTCAACCAATCACCTATCAATGATAGAATCTCAACAGTCACCTCTTCACGGTATATATAATGTATACTAAGAGCATTATAAGCGTAGAGCTAATTACTTCACCTAAACATAAACATAAACGTATGGATTTTATTATTACGTCTCTATTTTTATTTTTATTTATTCTTAATTTTTAATATAGTCTATCTGCAATATCACTACTCATACGGTGTATGTTCTGTCTATATCTAGTTTACTTTTGGAATTCCATGGGTACCCTTGAATATCAAGAACTAGAATACACTTCTTATAATTCTTAATACTTCGTATAATGTATCTAGAATATCCCTATATATGGATTTCTATGTGTTATGGAATTCTATCAAGATATGTTGTATCTGGAATTCGTATATTCTTGTTTACTTTTGGAATTCTATTTATTAGGGTTTCGTTTAATATCTAGTTTACTATTTACTATATATATGGAATAATCCTTTATACAAAATATTTGACATTGCGCACGAAGAATGGGGAGCCCAGATCAGATGTTTTTCCATGTAGGTTGGCAAAAAATATTCATCCATTACAAATCCTACCCTAAAAAGAAGTTTGAATATGCAAGTGTCTCCTATTTCAAGAAAGGTATATCTTCAAACTTTGTAATGCATGTTGAGATGGCATCATTGTATTGACGCCGAGGTTCTTCTTGTGCAACTTATCTAAAAACTATATTTTTCAATATATATATATATATATATATATATATATATATATATATATATATATTATATGATAAATAACGGTTCCTTAAATATTTTTAAATTGTGTTCGAACTGTCTTATGAAATTGTTTTTAATTCATTAAAAATCCTAAAAACTATGTTCTATAGATATGTTCTATGAAGTTTAAGAGAATACTTTCTATGTTATTAAAGAGAACTAGTTTTATTTTTACATTTTTAGGTTTTAACTATTCAATCGACTATATGTTGGTCGACTACATTATATGTAGCTGAAACCATGTGACTGCTATAACAATCTAGTCGATCAACATAAAATCGACTAAGAGTTAAATCAACAAAGATTATCCATCCATTATATTTTCGATCAACACAAATCAAAACAAATAATAGTAATTCGACTCGTAAAGACTAGTCGATCAACACAAACATAGAAAGTATATTTCTTTCCATTATATTGTTCTCTTGGATGGGGTTTGTAGGATTTGTATTTGATTAAGTTGTCACAAGCAGAACCTCAACGTCAAATACAATGATGTCATCTGAAGGTGCACTACAGAGTTTGAAGATGCACCTAGTTTTGAACCGGAAACACATGCATGCTATCTATTCAAACTTCTTAGTTATTTCAGGGATCAGATTTGTAATGGACGGATATTTTTTGCTTAATCTCTATGGGATATATGTCTGCTTAGGAAATAAGGTCCAGAAAATAACACTATGTCAAGGAAATCTATTCAAAATTACACGGTATTATTATCGACTATCACTTGGTTGACAGGTTCATTTCTTTTTTTACAAGTTCTAACGGTATGTCCTTTTTTGCTACAACCTGAGCATGTCAATTGCCATTTCTTTCTAGCCTCGCCGGCAGATGGAAATCTTTTCATTGTAGGCCTTCCACACTTTCTTGATATGACTGGAGGATTAACGGATTGAAGCACAGTGTCTTTGGCATCCCAATCTTCTTCGTCCGGGACATGATAAATTGTTTCAGCATATGCCATGTACATGAATTCTCGAGTGTAATACTTGGTGCACAATTAATAAAGGCTAATATCATGTGCCATATGAATGCATGCTAGAGCGTGAACACATGGAAGTCGTGTTAAATCAAAAACACGACAAGTGCATTCTTTCCTGTCTAGGTTGACCACGTGTGAAGACTTAGGTCCCTTAATTTGAAATTCATACATACTTAGTTGCAGTGATGTCAGTTTCCTAGCTCTCATGTTGCGGTTGCGAATGATTGCCTCTGCTTTGGCAGTCAGCGGGCTAGTAGAGTTCTCAATTAACTTTAACTCAGCCAATCTCCTACCTCTCCACTCAGAAACCTTCGATTGCACTCCTTTCAATAGAGCAACAATGGGAAGTACTCCGTCTCTTTTCAAAACATTATTCATGCTTTCCACTCCATTCGTTGTCATAATATTATAGCGGTTGACATTAAAGAAAGCTCTAGCCCATTTTCTCTTTTCAATCCCATCTAAATAAGTAGCCCCAGATTCAGACCTGCTTCGAAATTCTGCATATAACCTAGTAAAATGCCTTTCGTTGTATGCATTTGCAAGATCGTCAAATAAACGTAGGGCCCCTTCATCTCTGTGAATATGATATTTCAGATTCTGTGATATATGAAACTTACAGTGTCCGTGATCAGCAGCCTGATAGTGTATTCGGAGTCCATTAGCTATGCTTGCATGCCTATCGGAAATGAATACAAGCTCTGACGAATCATCAATAAGCTTTCTCAAATGTCCAAAAAACCAACCATAAGAGTCGTTGTTCTCACTGTCCACAATAGCCCAAGCTAAAGGATATTGATGAAAGTCGCCATCTTCAGCTGTAGCTATGAGTAAAACACCTTGGTAAGAAGTTTTTAAGAATGTCCCGTCAATAGAGATAACTTTCCTGATTGATTGAAATCCATAAATACAAGCATCAAATGCTATAAACACATACTTGAATAATCCATTTTGAACTTCAAGGTGCGTTGTAAGCTTTCCCTTGTTAGCCTCTTTCAGGATATGCAAATATAATGGTAGTTGTTTATAACTATTATTGGGAGAACCATACAAGGTTTCATTTGCAAACTTTCTGCCCAATCAAGCCTTTGTATAAGTAATTGGCATACTCTTATTTTGCATGAGAGTCATTATAGACATTTGGTCTAATCATTTCCTCAGAACCACCATCAAGAGTAGCTAAAATCGTTTCTCCAACATATCTTGAAGTGGTCTGACTATTTGTACGATTACCGTCTCCAACTGAGCAGTTGTGCTTCTTGTTGTACTTTATGATTTTAAATCTTGGAGAATTCCTTACAGCAGTTGCTCTCATCATCCAACTACATTTAAGGCCTCTACACTTCAAATTATATCTCTTGGCATCACTCTTCGAAGTTGTTGTTTCAAAATTCGCTTTGATGTCAACCTCCCGTAGCTTAGCCTTCATGTCTTTTTTATTCTCGAACACAAACCCAACTGCGAAATCTGAACCATCTTCAAAACTACCATCAACATTTTCCAAATTGTCGACCACATCTGTGTCAGGATCGACTACATGGTGGTCGTCCTTCTTAGCATCTCGGTTGACCTCATTTGCCTATTTAACCAATACTTGGTCGCCAAGATCAGTTACTTTGGTAGGAGTAAGATCGAGATCAGTTACATGTCTGTCAGTTTTTTTCGGTGTGGCCACAGCAGGATTATTAGGATCTCCTTCCACAACAATACTGCATCGGAAAAATGAATCCTCAAAGAAAACTTTGTCATTCCTAGAACTGTCCTCCTCCCCATGCTCTAAACGGTTTGTCATAGAAGATGGTACATCACGTTCTACCTCTTCAATCTCTTGAGTTACAGATGGTACTTCAATAACCTCAATAACCTCAACATTAATTAAAGTTGAATCCATTTCTTTGTCTCTCAAATATACATAAAGTGTTTTATCCGTATCTATAGTATAAGGAACAACTTTACCAAAGCGTCAGAGTTGAAATGAGATCTTCAGTTTATGAGACACGGAGTCATAACCTGTCTCTTCGTACACACACTTCATAAACCGTTCAAAATCCACTTTACTAGAATCCCAAACGAAAGCACCCATCTTAGTGTCACCATCATAATTGTACTCTCCTAAATCGCTCCTCCCATTTCCCATTGTAATGAACATATACCATTGAATCCATCTGCATAAAGTTGAATATTATTGTTTGACAGACATTACACTAAATGCTCGACGAAATGTTGCTCAACCATGTTCTTATTTTGTTTTACATTATTATTATTATTATTATTATTATTATTATTATTATTATTTATATTATTATTTTATCCCAGAAGGCAAACCACCAAAATCAGTGGGGTAAATGCCGGGAGTCAGATACCAGGATTTTATTAAAAATTAGATCTGAATACAAAAAAAGAGGGGGACTATACCAAAACCTCTTTTAAACAAGATACAGAAATTAATGGAAACGTAACACGGCTATACCAAAAAGATCCATATAATAGGTCCGCTTAGCCATCACAGGTAAATCGATCGGGCTGAGAAATTCTTTTAACGGCCCAGAATGGAATTGGGCCAAATAATGTGCAGCTTCGTTAACTTCCCGGTATACATGCCTGAAGGATAACCCTTTCCTTTTGGCAATCTGTACAGTTTCCTGAATAAGGGTTTTCCATTTCCTCACCGCTGGATCTTGAAGAAAGCCAATCGCCATATCTGAGTCTGCCTCACCTCAAACTCGCCATAACCAGCATCCGTCGCCCAACGAATAGATGTTGAAATGGATTTTATTTCTGCTTCCAATGCCGATGATGCCTCCAGATCGAAGCTAGCTACGCAAACCAACCATCCGTCTGGGTTTCTCAGAATCGCGCTGCCCGAAGCCAAACCAGATAAGTAACGAGCATCAGTGTTTAATTTCATCACTCCATTCGGTTTACACCATCTTAAGATCTGTATATTATGATTCTGTAAACTATAATCCTTGCGAATTAAATTTTCATCATACAGAACCTTATCAATAGAGCGAACTTTTATCCCCTTCAGAGAGTGAACCTAGACTTGAGTATATTGCTTGATAGAGATGATTAACCCTTTAGTGGATGTATTAGCAGTTCCATCACCCCATTGGTAATTAGAGTAGACTTTCCAAATGTGCCAAGAAATGATCCCAGATATATTTTGTTTGAAAATATCCAATAAATCCACAGAGCCAGCTTTGAGCCAACAATGTCTGAAAAGCTGAGGAGTAGATAATTCTTCCATAGGCCTCGGAATACCCAGAATACTCAGGAAATAGACCCATATTCCCCTCACCTGTTCACATTTATGAAAAATATGGTCCAAAGAGACACTACTCTTTCTGCAAATAGGACATAAAGAAGGGTTACTAGTAATATGAAAAAGATTAAGCTTCTCTAGCAAGGGCAGTATGTCCTTTATAATCTTCTCTAGCAAGGGCAGTATGTCCTGTTTTGAGTTCCAAGTATGTTTGAATGAAAAGGTTGATAAAGCTTGAGACCTCACTGCATGAAAATCTATTGGTTACAGTTTAACAACTTTTCGACTAAATGATGGTCGAGAATGTGGTCGACAAAATTAAAACCATATAGTCGATTAGCATGGTCGATCATTCTATAAATGTTACTCGACCATATGATAAACCATATGATCGAACATATATGGTCGACAAAATGAAAACCATATAGTCGATCACTATATGGTTACCGACAAGTAACCGACCATATTATCTTCTATTCGATCACTAAAATTTTAAAAAGGTTATGAATAACCAAAGTTGTCGATTAGCATGGTCAATTCATTATATCAATGTTATTTGACCACATGATGCTCGAACATGTGGTCGACCAATTGAAAACCATATATTCTACAACAAGTTGACGACCATATTATCGTCGATCACTCAAATAATACGGAGTAAAGGTTATGAACAACCAAAGTTCTCGATAGCATGGTCGATCACTATATAATTGTTATTCGACCATATGATTGTTATATATTCGAACATATTTGAATTATTCTTGCAGTTAAGAATAGCGTGGTTAAATTCGGGAATTAAATTGACACATAGTACAATAACAATATGGTACGAGTTTTAGTTCTACGCACCAAAAAAGCTAGAGAATCTGAACAGGATGCAAATGTAGCTTTATCAAGAGCTTATTAGATGTAGCTAATCTTATCTTGCAGGATGAAGGATGATTAGAATCCAGAGTGCGCTTTACCAAGCTTTTGTACTGAGTCGATGATGCAGATGTAGCTTTATCAAGCGTTTAGTATATGTAGCAAACCTCGTCTTGCAGGATGATTGATGAGAGGAATCCAAATTGCGCTTTACCAACCTTTTGTACTGAGTCGATGATGCAGAGGCTAGTTGATTTGAAGACAACAACAGAGAATTAGCATAAAATGTGGAAGAGTGAAGGGCAAAGAATTGAGAATCTGAAATAAATGTTACCGTTGTAAATATGGAGCCGTTGGGATGAGGTCGTTATAATGTGACGGCTCGAAAGAGAAACCCGTTAGGAACTGAAGCGGGGTATAATGGGAAGTACGACACAACATTTTAACTGACGCGGGGTATAATGGGAAGTAGGCCACAACATTTAACGGAGACGGGTACCTTGACAATAACTAACGTTAGCTGGGTATTTTGACAAATAGGAAACTTTTTAGGGCATTTTGAAAAAACCATCCTACCAGTGAAGTGATAATAGGGGAGGGGGAGCTTACCGGTGAAAAAGCAGGTCTGAATAGGGGAGGGGGGGGCTTACCCGTGAAGGGATGATAATAGCTTAGTACAAGTAAAGAAAACAAAAAAGAGTTTCATAGTGCATCTCTTGATGAATACTCTTAATATTTCAGTCATTAAAGAGAAACTTAATTTGTTTAAAATGACATGGGTTATGGGTTATTTGTAAGGTTTAAATTGTAGAAATGTATGGATATGTGTTACAGTGATGAATTTTTTTGTGAATTTGTTGGATTGTATTATTGTAAATCAATTTGATAGACTATAAGTCTAGAGAGAAGGGAGAGCTAGAGAGAGAAGTGAGTTGTATTAATGATTTTTCAACCCTTTACATGGCTCCCAAGGGGAGTATTTATAGAGGAAATTAGGGCCGGGCTCCCAAGTCTTGGGCTTGGGAGACCCATTTACAATTGGGCCACTACTGGGCCGAGTACAAAGAGTGTAAAAATAACTAAGTATGAAATCCGGTTCTGGGAGTTCTCTGTGGCCGAAAGAGGTTCGGCCGAAGGAGGCGCCTGGCCGATGGAGACACGGCCGACGGAGGACCATCCGAGCTGATTGCTGCCTGGGCCATATTCTGAGCTGACTGTTGCTTGGCCGACGGGGGCGCCGGCCGACGGAGGCACTGGCCGACGGGGGCACCGGCCGATGGAGGCACTGGCCGACGGAGGTACCGGCCGATGGAGGACAATTCTTCTCCTTGGCTTCTGGACCGTATTCTGGATCGACTCTTCTACGGTTGATGGAGGGCCACTTGGCCGAAGGAGGACCCATTGGGTGACAGCTGCGCTTCCTCTTAGTCTTCTGAGTATGTGGGTCATGGGGTCTGGACCCATATACTCCATCAGGAGTCCCCCACTTGGCCGAAGGAGGACCCATTGAGGACGATGAATGTCCTTCATTTTGAGGACGACGAATGTCCTTCGTTTTGAGGACGATGAGTGTCCTTCATCTTGAGGACGATGAATGTCCTTCGTTTTGAGGACGGTGAGTGTCCTTCATCTTGAGGACGATGGATGTCCTTCATTTTGAGGACGACGAATGTCCTTCATTTTGAGGACGATGAATGTCCTTCGTTTTGAGGACGATGAGTGTCCTTCATCTTGAGGACGATGGATGTCCTTCATTTTGAGGACGATGGATGTCCTTCACTTTGAGGACGATGAGCGTCCTTCGTTTCGAGGATGATGGATGTCCTTCACTTTGAGGACGATGAGGGTCTTGGACCAGAGGACGTTGTGCGCCCTTGGCTCTGTGGACGAAGAATGTCCTGCCCTTGTGCTTTTGACTTTAGTTGATGGATCTTACGCTTGCGGACGTTCGTGGCGCGTTCATTTTGTTCGTGATATGGACGATGAATGTCATAGTCCTAGAGACGATGCGTGCCATTGGCCTTGAGGACGAGGAGTGTCCTTGGCTTCGAGGACGACACGTGCCCTTGACCTTTAGGACGATGTGTGTCCTTGACATTGAGGACGATGTGCGACCTGCTTTGCGCTTCGGCATGGCCGAAGGGTGAACACATGGTTGTTGGACGTTGAGGTACCATTGTCATGGGCTTGTGTTCGTTGGATTTTGAATTTGTTTATCTTTGCGCTGGAAGCCGATGTAGTCCCCCAGACCATCTTCTGGCCGATGGAGACATGGCCGACGGAGGTACCACTTGGTAGTCCTTGCTTGTTGTTGCTTTTTGGATGATTTCATGTATGAGGAGGCCGATGTAGTCCTCCAGTCCCCCACTCCTCGAGGCTCATGTAGTGAGGTGAAGAGGAGTAGAGCAATACACGTCTTCAATAGGGGGCCGAGGGTCGACACCTTTTGATCCACAATGGGGCGATGTCTCGTTAAAAACCTCATTAGGAAAAACCATGTGGGAAAAAATCCTAATGAGGGAAAAGAGCACACCGGATCCCCCAAAATGAACTCCAAGGGGTGAACCCTTCGGACTAGGTGTGGAGTTGCAGCGGTGTCTGTCTATTGAGGGGACGCTCGCCTAGTGTTGAGGACGACGGCGCTGATGAGCGGGTCCGAATATGAGGACGAGGCGATAGATGCATGTCTGAATATGAGGACGACGGTGGTCATGAGTCGTGCGTCATATGAAGGTGAGGGTCGCTATCCAGGAAGGGAATGGCGAGCCCGGTCCCTATAACAGTACATCGGCGTTGGCGCCGGTCTGAAGATGAAGGACGGCGTTGATGAAGCCCGTCCTTTGATGAAGGATGGCGTTGGATGCCTGAAGATGAAGAACGACGTTGGACGCCCGTCCCCTTATGACAACGGCGCTAGTGAAGCCGTTCGTCACATGGAAGACGACGTTGGACGCACATCCTTTGATGACGACGGCGTTGATGAAGCCGTACGTCATATGAAGGACTAGGCTTTGACGCCGGTCTGAGGATGAGGACAGCGTTGGACGCACGTCCCTTGATGGTGAAGGCGTTGATGAAGCACTTCGCCGTGTAAACTCAAGGCTCTTCGGCGCTGAGGAGGCCAGCCTTGAGTTAAATAATCATGTCGCAGCCGAGGGATCGGGCGTGGTTTGAGGATGACGGCGATGATGACGATGGTCTAAATAAATGATGACGAGGCATTGATGAAGCCATTTGTCATGTAAGCTCAAGGCTCTCGGCGTTGAGAATGCCAGTCTTGGGATAGATGATCATGCTGAGGCCGAGGGGCCGTTCCTTTAGAGGACGATGAACGCCCGTCCCCTTATGACAACGGCGCTGGTGAAGTCGTTCGTCATATGAGAGACGATACTGGATGTGCTTCCTTTGATGACGACGGGGTTGATGAAGCCGTTCGTCATATGAAGGACCGGGCTCTGACCCTGGCTTGAAGATGAAGGGCGGTGCTGGACGCACGTCCCTTTATGACGAAGGCGTTGATGAAGCACTTCGCCGTGTAAACTCAAGGCTCTCGGCGCTGAGGAGTCCGGCCTTGAGATAAATAATCACACCGAGGCTGAGGGACCGGGTGTGGTTTAAGGATGACGGCGATGATGAAGCCGGTCTAAATAAATGATGACGAGGCATTGATGAAGCCGTTCGTCATGTAAGCTCAAGGCTCTCGGCGCTGAGGATGCCAGTCTTGGGATAGATGATCATGCTGAGGTCGAGGGGCTGTTCCTTTTGAGGATGATGAACGTCCGTCCCCTTATGACAATGGCGCTGGTGAAGCCGTTCGTTATATGAGAGACGATACTGGATGTGCGTCCTTTGATGATGACGGCGTTGATGAGGCCAGTCGTCTGAAGATGAAGGGCGGTGTCGGGCGTCTGTCCTCTGAGGATGACGGTGGCGATGAGCCTGTTTGAAATGAAGGACGGCGTTTGGACGCTCGTCTGAAGATAAGGGACGGCGCTGATGAAGCCGGTCCTTTGCTTAAGGACAAGGCGTCGCGTCTGTCTGAAGATGAAGGACGGCGCTGGCGCTCGTCTGATCCGCATGTATGGTCTTGCTTCGTCCATAATGCATAGTATTTGCCTGATATGTACTTAGCCAAATATGTGACTTGATTTGTGGCTATTTTATTTTTTATCGCTCGAGGCCGGTGAGTGTGCGGTCCTCGGCTTCCCTCTTTTGATTTGTGGGGATTTCGCTCGAGGCCGGTGAGTGCACGGTCCTTGGTTGTCCCTCTTTTATTTGTGGGGATTTCGTCGAGGCCGGCGATTGCACGGTCCTCGACTGTCCCTCTTTTAATTTGTGGGGATTTCGATCGAGGCCGGCAATTGCACGGTCCTCGGTTGTCCCTCTTTTCTTTGTGGGGATTTCGTCAAGGCCGGCGAGTGCACGGTTCTCGGCTGTCCCTCTTTTATTTCTTCCTCTACTGCTATGAGCGAGGAGTGGGGGTCCTTCTTTCAGGCTCGACCGAGGGGGTTGCTATTCCCTCGGCCGATAGGGAGTCCAGGAGGGCTGCTGTCCGGCCTCTGGCGCTGGATCGTCCCTTGATCTTGGGGGGTCCCGTCGTCTATTTACGGCGCGGGCTAGGCTTTTGGTCGGTTACCGACGGCTGCCGTTTCCCAACCCCAAGTGTGGGGATTTTGTCATCTCGGCCATTCTTTCAGGCCTGTCGTAATGCGATTTAGCGCAAAGACGACGCGATGAGCTTCCCGTTTCACGACGTGGGCCATTTTGCGCGCCCCTCGTCCTGGGGCACCGTCGGCCATGCCTGAGCGTTTCGCTGTAAGGGGCCGAGACGATGTGCTGTTTTGTGTGGCGTCGTCGGCCATACCTAAGTGTTTCTCTCGAAGGGGGCGATGCGACGAGCTTTGTTTGTGCATCCTTTACTTAAACTTTACAAGAAATAAGTAGAACACAAAAGGTGTGTTTATATAAGTGGCTCATGGCTGAGGGTGGTAATCTTCTTAACAATCCGTACAGGAGTTAGCTTCTCAATGAGCTTCTGACCTTGGGTGGCGGCTCCGCCGTCTGCACCCTCTTAGGATTGCTGATAGAACTTCACCGAGATGTAAGGCCCTTTGTATTTTGAGGGATGAGCCGTCCATCGGCCGTGCGTCCCTTCGAAAGAGGACACAGTCAACAGATGTGACGCTTCTTCGGTTGGGGCTCCTCGAAGTCCTCGACGTCACTGAGCCTCCCAATTTCATGCTTCTTTGTCGAGGTGTCCCCTTCATGATTGCTGGTGGAGCTCCTAGGGGCACCTTTGACAAATTGGTGGAGTTCACCCCGTTGAATCAAGCGTTCAATGGCTTTCTTCAGTGCGACGCAGTCGTCTGTATTATGGGAGGTATTCTTATGGTAACGGCAATAAGTGATGCCTTGGTGGACGGCGTAGATTTCCTTGGCCGACTGGGGATCTCTGGGGATGAGACCTTGCTCCTCCGCATAGTCGAGGATGGTATCCACCGACTGCGTGAGTGGAGTCCTTGGGACGTCCATCCTCGGCTGCCACGGACGCTCCTTCTGGCTTTGGCGGGCATGGCTTCCGGCCGAGGATGCGCTTGGAGCCGACACATTGTTTGTCTTCTTTTATGGCTGGTCTCCATCCTTCTTGCGGGAGTGGAGCTCATCGGCGTCAGCGTACAAGCTCCCTCGCTGGAGTGCCTTGGTGTATGACCTCGGCGGGTCGGTGATTAGGTTCCTCGCGTAGGGGCTGCTGCGGAGAACGCCTTGGAAGAGGATGAGGAGGGTGCGCTCATCGGCACCTTCGACCTCGTCTGTCTTTTTCGTCCATTGGTCGATGAAAGACCGGAGTGATTCATCGTGTTGCTGTTTGATGGAGAGGAGATGAGAGAAATGTTTCTTCACGCACTTCCTTCCGGCGAAGTGGGTGAGGAAGCGTTGGGCAAGATCCTGCCACGAGTCTATGCTTCCTTCGGGGAGCGCGTTGAACCACTCGTACGTTGGTCCTTCAAGAGTGGAAAGGAACCAACGACAGAGGTATTCATCCGATGCGTTCACCATCAGCATGTTGTTCTGATAGCGGCTGAAATGTTCTTTGGGGTCGGAGCGAGAGTATCCTCTGTACTTCTCGGGGATAGGGGCCGAGAGTATCCTGGTAGTGAAGGGATTCCTCGTCCTGATTTGGAAGATGGGGCATCCTCGTCCTTCGGCCAACTCCCTCTCAAGGATGCTGACCTTGTGTAGGAGGGCGTTGAAGTCGGGATCCCTGGATGGGTTGCCCGTGGGGGTGGCGGCCAGCTGTTTGGCCTCCATCTGGGCGAGTCTTCGCTCCAGCTGGGCGATCACCTCGTCCCGGGGGTCTTTGGCGGCCATGGTGGCGCCCTGCGTCTGTTGGCGGGCTGCGTGAGCCGTGTTGATTTGGTGGCATGCGTCACCCTCGTGCAGCTTACCCTTGCCTTCGTCCAGGCGGGGCCGATCCGCTGTCCGGGATATGGACCCCAAGCTTTCCCTTGGTGAGCCAAGATCATGTTCACCAATCCGTCCCGCCATCCTCTCCGAAGCAGGCCGACGGCGCGTGTCACCTAGCCTATTAAAGACTGAGGCTTTTCCACGCGCTGGGGCTGGTCCAGCTCGAAGTGGGGAAGCAGGGTGGGAGTGGGATGACAACGTGTCCTGGGGCACCACCCCTTCGTCGTTGCCTAGCTTGATGGCCACCGGCTGGGGCTGAGGAGGCGGTGTAGTGTTCTCCCCAGTCCTTGGCATGAGTGCACTGAGGACGGTGGGGTTTTGGGCGAGGCTGGCGATGATTGCCGAGAAAGCGGCTTGGAGCTGAGGGTCAACGGCAGGAGAAGCCGGCTTCCCCGAGGCATTGTCGCCCTTTTCCAGGCGCTTCTTGTCCAGGCCGATGCGGGCGTCGGGGGCGCTGCCGTTGAGCTGATGGCGAAGATCATTCGTGAGGTCGATGGCCTCCTGGAAAACATCCCCGCCTGCGGCCTTGTCAGTCGTAGTGTCCTCCTCGTATTCCCTGTCCTCTTGGGCCTCAGGGATGGCCTTGCCGAGGAGGTTATGGTTGGACTTTGTTCTTCCCATGATCAGTTAGCTATGCTTGGTAGCGACGAAGGATGCTAACTTGATTGTTCTAGCTCTCAATGAAAGCACCAAATGATAGACTATAAGTCTAGAGAGAAGGGAGAGCAAGAGAGAGAAGTGAGTTGTATTAATGATTTTCAACCCTTTACATGACTCCCAAGGGAAGTAATTATAGAGGAAATTAGGGCCGGGCTCCCAAGTCTTGGGCTTGGGAGGCCCATTTACAATTGGGCCACTACTGGGCCGAGTACAAAGAGTGTAAAAATAACTAAGTGTGAAATCCGGTTCTGGGAGTTCTCTGTGGCCGAAGGAGGTTCGGCCGAAGGAGGCGCCTGGCCGATGGAGACACGACCGACGAAAGACCATTAGAGCTGATTACTGCCTGGGCCATATTCTGAGCTGATTGTTGCTTGGCCGACGGGGGCGCCGGCCGACGGAGGCACCGGCCGACGGAGGCACTGGCCGACGGGGGCATCGGCCGACGGAGGCACTGGCCGACGGGGGCATCGGCCGATGGAGGCACTGGCCGACGAGGGCACCGGCCGACGGAGGACAATTCTTCTCCTTGGCTTCTGAACCGTATTCTGGATCGACTCTTCTACGGCTGATGGAGGGCCACCTGGCCGAAGGAGGACCCACTGGGTGACAGCCGCACCTCCTCTTAGTCTTCTTAGTATGTGTGTCATGGAGTCTCAACCCATATACTCCATCACAATTATATTCAAAATATTTTTAATTAGTGAAAAAACTACGACGTAACTGGTAAGATTTGATATGTTCACATATGGGTATAATAGTAAAGTAAGACTCTTAATAGGTGAATCAGTAAAAATCGTATAAGAGTCAATAATAAAGAAACTGTGTTACGAGTTGCTAAATCACAAAAAAAATCATTTAAAATATATTAAAACTTATTGACTAAACTTGCATATTAAATTAGAGTTGAATTCATCTTATAGTGTATGTGAATAATTTTCAAATTGAATGAAGACAAATGTTTTTTTTGTTAGGAAAGTGTCTTCTACGTTTTAATTATTTTGATAAAAATAAGTCGAGTATGAGTGATTCATAAAAAATAAGGTTACCTCACACGAGTAAAAGTCATCTTTTTGCCTACTTTTTTACCAACTTCAGTTTGAATAAAACAAAGTAATTGAGAAATAGTTGAGGTCCTCGCATTTTATCTTCAACAAGTGTTACCTTTACATTTAGTCTGATTGTCTCATTTCTCAAACGGTTTGATATATTGATTTGCGCTAAAGATGGCGAACAAATCAATCATGCTACCAATGTTATTAACAAGAAAATGTTTCGAAATGTGTAGACTGCGAAAACCTTATTTTAATATTCATTAATTATTCTTATTCCAAAATATTTTTCGTACCAATTATGATTCGTATCTTTTGCGTAATTAAAATTTTGTGTGTCACATCTATACTACTTACATTCATTTACACATTAAATAATACCTGTAATGTTAACAAATAATATAATACTCTGTATTATATAGCTATTACTTATTCTATGTCCCGTGCATCACACCTTAATCAAGCTCAAACACCTTATTAATAAAAGATTTAAAATAAAAATGTATATTGAGCAGTCAATAGACACAACTAACGTAAGGGCAGGACAAACTACGGGTGAACCAAAAAGATATAAAACCGAAACTGACGGAAATCGAACACACCAAAATCGAGATCGACCAAATTGAATCGATAAAGCTGAAATCGACCATAACGAATTGATAAATCCAAAACTGATGGAAAGTGACTAATCATTTGTTATTCGGTTTACGGTTTGTATTTTTTAGTTAAAAAATCTGCCAAACCAAAATCAGCAAACAAAACTCGTCCAAAATCGGCACACACTATGGAATCATAAAAAGCCCAATATTCACTCGAAGTAAGAATTTGCTCTCTGGAAAGCATCATCCAACTTTCCTATCGAGTGAGCTGCAAAAAGATATTTGATTTGTATATGACATTTGGAGCTAATCTTAAGTAAAGCATCAAAGCAGTAACACTAGAATTACTACTCCTACTATGGAAAACTTTTTGCATTCGAAATGAACAATTCTCACACTGAGGAAACACATATGAGGGAGACTATTTCAACAAGTTTTGACCAAAGAAAGGATTATATCTTCACATAGCCCTAAACCTCTATAACATACATCAAATAGCGAGAAAAAGATATATGGGCAAACAAGCTTCTCTTCTTGATAGCTAATGAGTTCTCTTCTTGCATTCATGAATTATTTCCCATTTGCTTACACCATTAAGCATACACCATAAACTTCATCTCTTTATATATAAGAAAGTAAATGGCTCATCATTAAAAGACCACTGATATAGAACTTTGTGTTTGTATACGTTGCTCAATCCCGTACCAGTTTCCATAGATTTTAAAAGGTCTTATACTAATGTCTTTTTGTTAGTTCATGCCCAACATACTTGGAGTGTTGATTTGTTGCTTTGAATGATTTGATTTTTAAAACTTGTTTGGTACCTGTGCATTAATACCTTAAGCTTACATGACTTTCAAATATTTTGCTTCACTATAAAAATGAGTAGTGAGTCTTATGAGGGGTACTACTCTTTATTTATGGTGTTAAGTGCATAGTTTAAAACAGCAAATTGAAAACGTTACAATTAGCTAGAGTGGGGGGTACTACTCTTTATTTTACAATAGAAGTATAGAATGTTAACTGTATCTTCATGAATGCTAAAATATTTTAAATTATGAAATGAACAAAAAAAATTAACATTTTTTAAATAAATAATACATGATCATGTTGCTAAAATAACTTTTTATATAAAGTTTGGGGTATTCAAATTAGATATGCAAGTTTAGGGTGTTTACCTCACACCCCTTCAAAGTTTGGGGTATTTTAATTAGTGTTCCCTATGTTAATCTTCTTAACTCTATGTTCTTATATACTTCGTATGAAGTTGTCATAATAGGACAACCACATAACCTCATCTCATATTTGTAACTTGCTTATGCCTTCGAATTATAAGTCATGAAAGATATCATGTTTCAATGAATTTTGACAATCCTCACCAAAAATATTTGTCAATCCCGTATTCTTTTTGTAGGAATTGTCAACCTGATTGAGATATATACTATATGCAAATGTTAATAAAGTGAAATAAAACCAGCATGTCACTACCAAAAACGTCCATCCATTGAAATTAAAGCTTCGAGCAAAACCACTCATTTTCAATCCTTATTTCTTTCTAGCTGAAAACATCCATATTGCCTATTACTCACTCCGTCCAGAATTGGAGTTTACACTTTGACTTTTTTTTAGTCAAACTTTATAAACTTTGACCATTAGTTATTCAAAAATCGTATTTTGTAACGAGGGCAATAATGAAAAAAATAACTTCACATTTGTAGGGAGGGCAAATAACACCACAACTTTTAAACTGTTCAATTATTACATTAACCCTCGCCTTCTCATCGCTAGTTCCAGTACACATCATCTCTATAAAGCTATAGGCGAATTTATAACATACAAATCTGCAGTAATTTGAGAAAGCTTAAATTCTAATGCATACCACAAGTTTTCTACCCTTGTTTTTTAGAATTGAATCAGAACAGATCTCAAGAGAAATCAAAAGAGATCCTATTTCCAGTACACATCATCTCTATGGAGAGCCATAATGGCATTATGGCTCTCCATAGAAAAATCTCCAGAACAAAACTTTTCACCCAACTATAATAGGAAAACATGTTCAGGCCAGGTCTTCCGTAATTTCACCCTTCTCGTACACCCGGAGATGTTACTATATTTGAAAATTTGACAACTCCATTTCTATAACGTATGATATCTTTCAAAAAGTTGACATAAAGGTCAAAAAATGTGGCTGAAGGCACAACTTCTAAACCCTCCTTGTATACCTAGTATTCCAAATAAACACGATGATAAGGGCTTAAAGAAACTAAACTACGTAGTACTTGAATACAAATGATAAATATCAGGCAATACTCCTTCCGCAGTCATGCCTAAAAATAAACATGAAGATAAGGGCTTAAGGAAACTAAACTACTAACCGAGTTAGATTACATGAAGTTTTATACAATTAAAATATGAAATGATGATAAGAAGATATAAAGTTATAGACTGTATAATAAGATGAAGCAAAGAGAACCATAAACTGTTTAAAGAGAACTATAAAGTACGCATAGATGACTGCAAGTGGTAAGAGTAAAGAGAGAAGATAGACTGAAAGAATAAAAAGAAAGGATCAACAAGAAGATGGCAAAATAAATGAAAACTACAATCTGAAAAAGAAAGAAGAAAGAACATGGGAAGATGATGAGGAAGAAGAAACCTTAAGGGTTGCTAGCTTCAATGGGTTGATCGTTGATTCGTTGGATGCGGTTGCAGCGCTGAACAGGTTGCGCGAGTAGAGCATAGAAGAGTAATGATGAAGACGTACGATAGAAGGCTTTTACCGTGACTTAGAAGGGTTTAACATGGGTTTAAGTTGTTTTGACCTATTATTTGAATGGCGCTAAACATGGGTAGCACCTTATAATTCCTCAGGCGCAAGAAGAGCTGAGGCGCACGCTTGTGAGGCGCACGCTTGTCACGCCTGTGCTGGGAAATGCTTCTCAACTTATTTTTGAATGGCGCACGTTTCTTCTTTCTGTCTTCATCCTCTTGTTTAATTCAATTTTTCATTCTTTCTTATTTTCTATATTTTTCGGTATCGTCTGTTTGTTCTTGCTCTAATTCTATCTTTTCATTAAAAAAATTGATACCTTTATCTCTTATTTTCTTCTTCTGCTTTATATCTTCTCCTAACAAGTTCTTTTCTTTTATTTTTAGTCCTTCCATTCTTAGCCATGTTCCGAGTGTTGCAGCTGCATCAGAAACTAGGCATGCCCCCCGCCCCGCCCATGGGATGCCCTCCACTATCCACTGGTTTGCCCCACTTTCCCCAGGGCCTGCTCTCCCCTCCACTTTCCCCAGGAACTGCCCCCATTTCCCCGTGGACTGCCCCCCTGCTCCCTTCACCCCAGGATCTGGCCCACACAAACTCAAATTGCATACAAGCAATGGTTTTTAATGGAGTAATCCCCTTCCCTCTTCTCCCTCTTTGTCTTCCATCTTCCTCTTCCATCTTTTTCTCATTTATTATCAAACCATCGTAACACATGCGAACTATGAAATGGAGTAATCCAGAGAACCAAGGTATGATCAAATGCAATACATAGAGAGAGCAACCCTGAAATTCAAAACCATGATGCAGAAAAGATACTCAAACTCAACATAGTGGGGCAATGCAAAGAAATCTTGTCTAACTGTCAGCAAGCTAAGTTTACTGTAATTTTCTGTCAAAAAAATTCATTAATAGTTAAACCGAGTTGATTTTTCTTTTAAATTTCGATATCTCCTTACCCTTCTTCTTCTGGTTCCGTCTTCTTCCTCTCTTCCTTATTCAACCTCTCTGCTCCCATTTTCAACTTATACAAGTTATGGCATCTAGTCCATCTACAATTCGGTGACCATGGAATATAAGTTGTTGCCACTTGTCTTACCTTCAACTGTCTGCAATCAAGGCACGTCAAATCCTTGAGCAACCACCCTTCTTTCTCTTCTCCCTTTCTACCCCCCTCTCCCCCACCCCCCTTCGGATACCCATTCACTTCTCCACTTCTAAAAAAAGATTGTAATGATTGTTTCTTAAGAATGCTGGAAAGGCAGCTATGAAACACTTCAACAAATCATTTGGTATGTTTTGCATTACCTAATTTCAGACTATTAATCAAAATAAAAAAAATACATGCCATGAAATAGCGGTGAAACTAAAATTTTCTTCATTAATGCAGCCTTTTGGATTTCAGCTGAGTGACCCCTTAAAGCAAAAGTTGTTCCTCTTCTCAAGGCCATCCATGTAATTTTATATTTGGATCAAAAATTGAATTCAAACAAAAAATGAATTCTTTGAGGTGATAGTTGCATACAAATTGGGGTCTGTTGGCTTCCCAAAGGTGTTGCTTTCCCAGACACTTTTTTGTTTCAGAAAATTCAAACGATAACCTAAGCAATTCCTTTTATCAGCCGGATCGGTTCATAAAGATCATAACTGTATTAATATTAATTATAATACGGAGTATAATAACATATAATATAATAATAGATAGGTTTACTTTTGCTTACCTTTTCTTGTTCACCCCTTTTTTCTTCTTGCTTTCTTATAAGTGCCTATTGCATGAGTGAGATGCTAATTTACCTCAACAACAATACCTGAATGAGAAGAGACACATAAAGCACCCAAATGTCCAGAAAACATATGACCTCAAAGAAGAAGAACTTACCGACCACAAGTCCCAGCCCAGGCAGTTCCTCCACATATATGGATGCTTTCCGTATTCTCTGCTTCGTTACCATCCAGAGTTAATCAAATAGTGCACCACACGGATTAGGAAGATCGCCATTAGAAACCTGTTTTTCAACTAATTATCTACTATACTCCAATGACTTTAATTGACCTTCTGAAAACACATACAGGCAAGTCTTCACCTTTGGCTGTGCGTCAGAATCCTGACCAGCACCTCTCAAAGGGAGTCCAGGAGGTGCTTCTCCTTCCTTTTAATTTAACTGCCTGTAACAAGAAAACGCGCTCAAATTTCCACACATGGAAACAAAATCAGATTGAAATTTGTGAGCTAACAATAGTCACATATCCTTAAGAAGAAGCACAAGAGCAAATAAAATTGAAAATACGCAAAAAGGAAAATAGAGCTAGAGAATCAGGCAGTGCTTGTGATGGTTCAAAAAATCACTTTTCAGCTTCTTGCTTCAAAAGAGTTAAACATAAGGTTTTCAAACACGTGCTTGCGCTTAACATTCTTGTAAATGCTTTTCGGTTTTTCTGTAGCTAACTCAATCTTTTAGCCCTAAACATATATGCAACAATTATCCTACATGACAAAACAAAACAGAGCATGAGGAAAAATTGGACATTTTGGTACTTCCACTGAATATTACATTACAAATCACTTTTCTACCGAACTTTTACTTTTAATATAAAATCACTTCCAATTTAAAACACTACCGGCTTTTATCAAGCAGTTTCTCTATAATAACTTTTCACTAAAAAATCACTTTTTTAGGAGCACAATAAATAGCAAACACTTCCTTAATATCGAACATAGTTATATTATATCTATATATCTAAAGCAACTAGACCTTGGAGTTACTTCAGAACATGCAGCACTCTTACAAGCAATTCAAGCACACTACAGTATTATGCCCCTAAAACATAGACATTTCAGTTGCATTGCACACTACAGACAACACGTGAATATGCCCACTAAAACATAGATATTTCATTTGCAGCAAACGATACAATTATTCAAGTTCATCATCAAAAGTTCCTGTAACTAGTGTCATTGTACTCTTTAAGGCCATGCAATGACATCAAAAGCATAGTCACTCACAACTTGATCTCATTTGCAGGTAGTCCATAAATTTCTACCCGAAAATTTGCTCCATAATTCATTGAACTATTCAAAATACGTAAATACCAAGTCGCCATTAGAATGCAACACCTACATAATAGTCCTCACCTTCATACAGGGTAGCTAATAGTGTACAAATACAAAAAAATGGAACTTAACGCTAGTTATTATATTCCCACTTGAGCATCCTCTTGTTATACAAGTGACTAGCAGCAGGGTATAATCTCCAAAAGAGATCAAGTAATAAAATTGAACACTCCCTCCATTTTCATTTTATTGTTCTGCTAGGCTTTTAGAGATTTTAAGAGTACGTGCATAGTATATACAACAACAACAACAACATCCAAGCCTTACTCCCAAAAGAATTTGGGGTCGGCTAACATGAATCGATCTATGATATCGATGCCAAAAAGAGAAGGCGGACAAGAAAAGGAAAAAAAGTAAGATAAAATGATTAAAATAAAGATACATAAATATAAGATAACAATAACACAAGAATATAACCAAGATAAAAGAAAAAGAAATAAAAGAACATAAAAAAGCTAGAAGATAAAAATAACATAAGAATATAAAAAGATAAGGAAGATAAGCGATAAAAGAAACAAGAGAGGAAAGGTAGACAAGACATCAATCGTCCACATGGATGTGCGCCCTCCACTTTGCTCTCTCCAAGGCCATACTCTCATCCAACCCAAGAAGACGCATATCAGTTCTGATTACTCTAATCCAAGTCTGTTTGGGTCTTCCCCTCCCTCTCTTCTCTGACTCTTCTCCCCACCCCTCAAATCGTCTAACAGGTGCATCACTCGGTCTTCTATGCACATGCCCAAACCACCGCATACGAGACTCCTACATCTTATCTTCTATAGGTGCTACTCCCACCTTTTGTCTGAGTACCTCATTCCTCAGGCGGTCTTTTCTGGTATGTCCACACATCCAACGCAACATACGCATCTCTGTCACACTCATCTTTTGAATGTGGCATTGCTTCACCGCCCAACACTCTACGCCATACATTAATGCCGGCCTAATTGCTGTACGATAAAATTTACCTTTCAATTTAGTCGGCATACCTCGATCGCATAGAAATCCTGAAGCACTTTTCCATTTCATCCACCCAGCTCTGATTCTATGACACACATCTCCATCTAATTCACCATCCTTCTGAATTATGGATCTCAAGTAACGGAACATATCACACACCGGTATCTCCTTACCATCAAGAGTAATCCCACTGTTGCTACCGCTTCTACCTCCACCGAACTTGCACTCCATATACTCAGTCTTGCTTTGGCTCAGTTTGAAACCCTTGCTCTCCAATGTTTGTCGCCATACTTCCAACTTTGCTTTAACACCGGATTGTGTCTCATCAATCAATACAATATCGTCGGCAAACATCATGCACCACGGTATATCTTCTTGAATTGACTTCGTAAGTTCATCCATGACTAAAGCAAATAAGAAAGGACTCAGAGCGGATCCTTGGTGCACTCCAATAGTAATAGGGAACTCTGCGGTCCTCCCTACACTAGTGCGGACACTTGTAGTACAAGCATCATACATATCCATGATGATGCTGATATCCACCAAAGGACTTCTCGAGGTACCCTATCATATGCCTTTTCTAAGTCAATGATTACCAAATGCAGATCCTTTTTAGTGTCTCTATACTTCTCCACAACTTGTCTAAGAAGGTAAATGGCCTCAGTTGTTAAGCGTCCAGGCATAAAACCAAATTGATTCTCCGAAATTTTCACATTTTTACGTAGTCTTTGCTCAACCACTCGCTCCCAAAGTTTCATGGTGTGACTCATAAGCTTAATCCCTCGATAGTTAGCACATTCTTGCACATCACCCTTATTTTTAAATAAGGGAATGAGAGTACTCTTCCGCCAACTCACTGACATTTTGTTGTTTCTCCGGATCATGTTGAAGAAACGTGTTAGCCACTCGATGCCTTTCTCTCCCAAACTTCTCCAAGCCTCGATCGGTATGCCATCTGGGCCCACAGCTTTCTTCCGGTCCATTTTTCTCATAGCCTCTTTAACTTCTGTTGTTTGAATCCTTCTCACGAAATCCCTATTTACCATACACTCTGGTATAGTAAGATCATCATTTTTTTGTCTCTTTATATACTATATACTACGTGCATAGTATATAAAGAGACAAAAAAAAGTAGGAGAAGAAAACATGAAAAAGTAAAAATAGTAGGAGAGGGCATGATAAAGTTAGGGGCACTTATGGTACTCACAAAACCTTTATTCTCCAAAAGCAGGAAATGGAATAAATACACTACAACTTCTGAATAGAAAGTTGAACCCTTAAAGGAAAACGAGGGGAGTAATTGATATGAGAAAAGGCAACTAACCAATTCTGATTAAAGCACAACCTATCTCAGTTTTAAAAA